CATAACTAAACAAACAAACATAACGTGGGGCTACTGTATTTCTGGTAAACCGTGAATACTTAAAAATTCTCTGACTTCTGTAAATAATCAGTCATGAAAGATGACGTTCTTTTATTAAGATTATTCTGGATGTTTTCAGTTTTCTTTTTTGCTTCCTCTTACTTTTGAACTCTTAATAAGCATCGCATGTGCTGCCCATACTTCATTCGTGTTCTTGTTGTTAATAGCCCTCTCCAGTTTTTTTGTTTGCTGCTTCTAACAAAACTTGGCCTGACTCACGTATTTCACTTTATTCTACGTTTTTCTGGTTTAAACTCTGTTGCAGTGTCATAATCTTCTTGTTACGAACATCTTTCTTTTGTTGTTCTTCAAAATGTTTCTGCGCTTTCTCTTCTGCTCTTTTTTGTTTCTCTTATTCTTACACTTCTTTTCATTTCCAATTGTTCTTGACATTTTCTATGCGCTGAGGCAGCTAATTTCAGTAATAGGTACTGTACAAGGTGTGGGCTTTGGTCATGCATGATTAGTTTCTCCTCAACAATAAAAAGTGAATTAAGTATTCTTTCCGACATTGATGCTTTATCAGGAGGAAGTGCACGGCGTGAAATTGCAAATCCCCGTTCCACATCAATATTGCTATGAGAGAGGGTCAATGCTGATTTCACTAATTTGGCTATACTGGGAGGGAAATCATTAAAATAACTTTATTTAACTCAAGTTTATGAAATTATTTAAAGATAAATCGAGTAAAAAAATATTTTTGTAAACGAAAAGTTCATTCTGCTCTATATTAGCATTTTTATCAGAATATTTCGGGTCATTATTTACAATATTTTCATACTCATACTTTAATAAATCTAGAAATGGTGTATTTGGCAATAATATATCTGGAAGAAAACTTGGACCAGTATCTTTTTTCACAACTTGCAAAAGCACCAACTTTCTTAGATTCCCACATATTATCAATAGTTTGACATTACAAGTTTTGAATATGATTATCATTGCATATCTCATTTTGTAAAACATGTTTATCATTTTCTTTCTTATCAGCAATAACAGGTGCTTGTGGCAATTTAACTAGGAGTTCATTCTTTTGTTCCTTAATTTTATCGAATCTTATCATATGTCCGTAATGTATCATGTAATTAATATATTGTTTTTCTCCAAACTTTCTGAATGAAGCCCAATTCCATTATGCTCTATTGGATGAGAATTTTTAGGACTCGTATTAATTGACAAGTTGTCATTTTTTAGGTGTATATTTGTAAACGTAATGTATAATCATATATTTTTCAGTCATAACTCTTAATATAGATATGAATACTTTTATATTAATAATGAATGAGCAAAGATTAATTTTCTTTTTTAATTCTTTGTAGTAATTAAAATTATGCTAACATTAAGATACAACACTTGGGGAGGAATTTAATAAGTGTTTTTACTTAAGAGTAGAAATACTTATTAAATTATTTCATGTGTAGGCCTATATGATTTAAAAACTTGTTTCCGATTTTTTTTATTATTATTTGTTTACGACAACACGACACACTTGCTATCTGCCGAAAAGGATGCCTTCCGGGAAAACTTTGTGGATAACTGGCCTCTATTTATGTTATAATCAATCCAGAGTTTATCTTCTTACACTCGTCTAAACTGTCGCTCAGTATAATTCTCCTGGAAAAAGAATTCAATTCCACGTATCTATAGAATTTGGGAGCTCTTAAGTTAGATTCCATATATGTAACTATGCCTCGTAAATTGTATGCCTCATAAAGGCCTTGAATCCAGTGGCTTTCACGGAAATTAAAGTTTCCTGTCAATTTGACAAGACTATATGATTGTATCCTTGATTAGTTGTGATTCTCAAACTGTCACGCACATCTTATTAGGAGGCACAAGATTTTTCTACAAGTTGAAAATAATGATATTGATCATTTCTTTGCAAATAAAACTCACACGGATATTCAATATTCTATTCGCTACTTTTCATACAATATAGTATTAATGCAAGTATAACATACACGTTTAATTCGTTAACGTTTTTTACATTGCTTATCTTTGTGCTTTGTTATTGTTAGGTGATACTTTCTAATGCCATATAGAGTATTCTGCGTTATCTCCTCACAATTATTATATATACAGTACATGCCTTTTTTCAACGAAGTTTTTAAAGCCATGAATATCTTAACTCGTTTAATAGCCGTGATCTAACTTTTGCTTATTTTACGAAATCCTTGAAACGTATATTTGCAGTTATTTTATCCAGATTATTTTTCAAATTTCTTTAAAATAGTCTTGTTTTCAAACAATGGATCTCATCGAACATTATAGCTGTTTCTAAAAGAGACAAAAACTCTTTCCGTCCCATTTCTATTTTATCTTTCAAGCTGAAAATTTTCGAAATTTGTTTATACCGTAGACTATACTCAACAATTTCTTCTAAATGAATTCCAATTCAGCACTGTCACAGTGGCCTTCAGCATCATTCCACCACTACCAATCTTTTGAAAAATATATCAATAGCACTTCAGAATTTCGAAAAAAAGCAACATGTCTTCATAATAAATAAATAATATTACCCAAGCGTTCGATTTTATAATTCCCAAACTTCTCTTCTCAACTCTTAGAGAATACTTGGAAATACGGCCTGCATACGAATCCTGGCTTAATAATTACTACCTTATATATATCTGTATAATTAAACTTGTTTATTTTGAATTTCTTGATTTTTTTTCTCTTATATGGGTTCAACCTTTACTTGCAATTTCATAAGCTGACGATATTAAATTGATCATCCACTATTCTAATGCGTTTCGGATTAGTCTATTAGATACATCGTTTAACTTCCCTTGTGCAAAATACTAATCTTAAAATTAATGTCCTAAAACCTGTAATAATGAGTTATTCGCTAATTGGTAATACTCGGTTACTCACTTTCTACACATATAATAATCCTATAAAATAGACGGCCAGATGGCCGAGCAGTTAAGGTGGCAGCCTACCGATCTGGGAGATTTTTCGAGGGTGGTCCCTATGGATATGTTGGGCCCCCGTCCGTCATCACCTGGCCGTCCCATTGTGGGCTTGGCCGAATCCATAATGGGCTTGCTTAAAGAAGCTCTCTTAATGCCCACAGGGCAGAAAGAGTTACGAAAAACAAAATTCTACAAAATATGTTAATTTTTTTTGGCCTCGGAGGGATTTTCGATTCCAAACTTACATTCAATAAACATGTTGATAAAATCATTAAATCCCTAGCTATTCGTCGAGAAATTCTTTCGCGCTCTTGAGAAGCTATATATAAACTAGCAGAGGAACTCGGCGTTGCTCGGGCTTTTTATAAAAATTATATTAATTTTTATCGTTTTGTTAAATTTCCTGCCAATAGATGGCACTACGTGTAAACCAGCAAATGGAATGGAGGTAGAAATCAATTGATTTACAGAAACCCAATAGAAATTTTGGAATGCGATGTTCGACATTATCTAAATTAGCTGTATGTGGACGTAACTTCCGAGTTTCGTAGCAATTGGTCGAACGGCCTAGGCGTGTGTAGCGAATAAACATTTGAAGAAACATTCTCATTTACATATATAAATAGTTTGTGTGTAAAAAAATGTACTATTAAAAATTAAATGTCCTTGAAACATCGGAATTACTTAAAATGAGCGTCAGGTGAATCGAATCGAATCCAGCACTGCAAGCTGCAACGCACTCGAGGGCGGAGCGCATCTGACTCGACCACCAACGCTTTTCCTTTACTATTATTCAATCACTAATTTATACAAAGATATGTACAACACGTGACATGTATAGCATTTACAAAATATAATGAAGTGGACAATTTGATGGTATTTTTGCAGCATCGCTCCTTTCGACTTACATAGAATTGTGGCCGTCGGTCATCAGTGGCGGCCTTAGGGGGTGGCGAGCAGGGCAATCGCCCGGGGCCTCGCTCTTGGAGGGGCCTCGCGCAACAACCAAGTAGAAAAAAGTTGATATTTAAAACTTTTTATTTTATCCTTGGCTATTAGTTATAACAATAAAATAAATTTAATTTATAGTACAGTATATATTAATATTAATAAGTGCCTACTATTTCAATTCACATACTTTGCACAAAGGACAAGGGCCTCGCAAAGATCTGCCGCCTAGGGCCTCGCAAAGATCTGCCGCCCAGAGCCTCGCAATGGATAAGGCCGCCGCTGTCGGTCATAGTTTATATATATATTTTTTGTTAACTTTAGCTAGGCTTAGTATTTCCTTTGTTCTTTTGTCTTATCTGTTCTAGAACTTTCTCCCTTAATTCCTATTCCCTCGGGTGATATCACCGATTTTCTGAAACAATGTCATGGAGACAAAAGGAACAACAAGCCCCTAGGGAGAGAGGAAGTGGAAGAAAGGAGAAGAAACTGGGACTTCGTCGAGAGAGGACGGAGAAAGGAGTGCGGTCCTGACCGAGGAGTCGAGCAAGGAGTGAGAAAAAAACCTTGCGAAAGAAGGCCGAAGGAAGATCATACCTTGATCGCCTAGAGAGAGATCAGAGGTAAGAGACGGCCGAATTAGAGTAACGTAGGACCATTGCTAAGAAATCGAGTTTCCCCAGATTCAAGTAACAACAAGCAGGAAGACCACGAGACAACCCCAGAAAACGTAGACGTTCATAAAAGGAAAGAAATTAAGGTCTGGAGCCATTCAAAGATTCAAGACGGTGAATCATCCGAGACCACGTGGTAGAGAAAAAAATCCCGGGTATTTTCCCTTTTATTCTACTCCTATCCTTATCTATATTTTACTTCTCCTTCGTTAGTTTGTAAGTAGGTTAAGTTTTAGTTATAAGTCGCCCCCACGTGTTTTGTTTCCGTTGTCGCGTGTCGGTTGCCACCACAGAAAATTGTTAGTGTAGACGATTATCTTATGTATATCGAACCCAATAGGCTGTAAGTTGGAATTATTTTAAAGAACCTGTGTTTGAGAATAAAAATTTTTAGTATTCTTACTCGTTTTATTTGTTTCCTGTTCGCAATAATACGTTGCCCTCTAACGGAACTTCACAGAATGACGTTATTGGGTTCGATGTCCCGTGAATGATTCCTGTCCAAGACACAAACAAATTCATCATGCAATTTACATTTGTTAAAGAGATGAATGATTTAAAAAATTACCTCGATTATGAATATACATTATGGCCGAAGCCACTTGAGCACCGATCATTTTTTTACTCTGGCTTCTTCCAATGGTCCATTATTTTCTAAATAATGAGTTAAGTCCTGTCCATCCACATACTCGGAGACGAAGCAGAAACTGAAGAAGACAATTACTACTGCATAAAACCATAAAGTATTACATTTGGTTTATTAGTAATAATAAACCAAATGTAGAGTTAAAATTTACCTAATGTTTGTTTTGAAGTAACATTTAAAGAGAATGTGGGATGGCTCGATACGGTTGTCCATGCTTTTCGTTCTTTATTCAATTCGCGCCTCTATAAATAAAGTAATTTTTTAAATATATACTAGACACAAATTAAGAATACTCTGTAGACGTTTGTAATTAATGTTTATACAACATCATCAGTAAATGTGATGATTTTTAGTATCGAGAATAAACGTTTTATGTACAGTACTAATGACAGAATATGCTTATTAAATTATTTTATATTATTTGGACTTGGCTGTCAAATAATTTTCTATTATTATAAAACCAAGAATATGAAAAACAAAGCTCAAAGCACACCTGTACAAGACAAAAGCGTTTCCTCTCTTTTCAAAGCCACTTTTTTCTCAGAGAGTTTGTGGAGCGAGCCAAATAAACTGTCCCAAAAGTGCCCTTTCCAATTTCATGAAATTTGTACTGTCACTAACAATGTCTTTTTTATATTTTGAAGACTCCAATCCGAATTTACAATTCTAAAATTGCAGAATCATTTAATTGTAAACTTGGCTAAGTGAAGCGTTAAGTGTATAGGAAGAACGAGAACTTATCTGTGAATTGGAAATCTCTGCCGAATTACGGCGACTACAACAGAATTTATAGAATACGTTTGTACAGAATTCTATAAATTTTCCTATTTTTAATGGAACTGTGGATCCTCTTTGTTTACGGGAAGACACTTTGTTCCGTGCAAATTTTCGTCATTCTAAGAAAAGCCAATAATAAAAATCATATACGCTTGAAACGTTATCGGAGAAAATATTTGAAAAATCGTTATTAATTAAATGGTCAGAAACGAAATAATTTGTCTAGTGATAGGAGGTTACACCACTATCTTGTGTTAATTTTAATAATTATAATATATTTTAAATTTATAAGCGGCAGCAGTGTTGTCAGCTTGAGATTAATCCCTTGGCATAGTGTTTTCTCCTGTGCAAAGGGATTTTCTTAGAAAACAGCCAAAAACATAGTGATGCTTAGAATACTCATTTTTAATCTTCGTAGAGGAAAATGCAACTCTGAAGAACTAGATCTTGGCTAATACGTGAAAGAAATTTTTGTTACCTTTAATAACCTAACAACACTGAGCGGCAGTTGCGGTTTTGAATCCCGCTCAGGGCCAAGTATTTTATTATTTTCTTCCAGAAAATTCTATTCCGATAGTCCGATAATTCGGCAGATTGTTTGGCTTTAAAATTATTTTTGTGAGTAGCCGGGGGTGATACCGGTTTAAACCCAAGGACTATATACTACAAGGATAGCCAGATCCCTATTCTACAATGTTAGCCAGGAATGGCAAGTTAGTGACGTCAGCACGAGTCCTGACCTCTTTGTTTACATACTCGTAGAGCAGGTGTGCACGTGTTTAGTTTTCGCTTTTAATATTCGTCCAATTTTGTGATTAACGAAGTGATTTATTTTAATATTTCTGTAATTGTTTTATTTGACTAAGTTTTTTATAAGGTAAGATGATTTAAATATAAGTCATTAAATATTTAAAGCTATATTTTTATGTTAGGTGAAGAACAAAATGCTGAGTACTAGGTGTGCTGTGTATGGTTGCAATAATAACCTTCTTTTTTCAAATTGGAAGCAACCTGTTTACATCGGGTTTGATCAAAAAATGACAAGAGAAATACTTTTAAAATTAATAGCAGAACTTTATTTACTATCGTATAATGTAGTAGCTTGCGTCAGTGACTGTAGTTGCAGTAACATAAGTTTATGGAAAGAATTGAATGTGAATATCAATGAAACGTTTATTATGAATCAATTATTATTATCAATGAAACGTATATTAGAGATATAAATATGTGGTTCGACATTTTTAATAGCTATGCACCAAAAGGTTCTGTTCCAAGCAAAAATGGATATGGTGTAGACTTGGAATTACAAGAAGAACATTTAAATAAAATGATAAAAATAATCTCAACAATGAGAGCAAGTGGAAAAAATGCCCTCCAAATTTTCCAGAAAGGAATGATAATCTCAATGAAATCGCTAATTGATCTTTTTCAAGATATGAAATCGACTTTTGATATAAAATACATCTGCACTCACAATTTAAATCAAGATTGTCTGGAAAACTTTTTTTTTTAAATTAGAAGCCGGGGTCCTAATGAACATCCAAGCCCATTAAATGCTATATATAGGATTAGATTGATTATTTTAGGTAAGAATCCTGGTATTTTAGAGTCAAAAGTAAATACTACAGATCGAAGACAAGAGGAATATATTATACCCAAAGTTTTAGAGAAAGCACATGTAGAAGTATCAAGTGAAAATACAGACCAATATACTGAATGTAAAACTACTTTTTCTTCAAATAAATCTTCAGGAAACTCTACATGCAATCTAGACTTTAACACAATCTCTGAAGAAACTTCCTACGATGCTCTCGAGTATATAGCAGGATATTTTGCCTATAAATATAAAGAAAAATACCCAAACTTAATTAATTCCACTAACAAAATTAAAAATCATTACAACTATAGCATTCCGTCATGGGTGCAACATTTATCTTATGGAGGGCTTATTAAACCTACTGATGAATGGCTAGCAAAAATTATAGAATGGAATAAATATTTCGAAATATATCACGATGAATCGTATAAAAAAGGCCCCGGAGTTGTACAGAATTAGTCAGTGGAAACAGTTTTACCTTTTACTTTAATAAAAGATTTTTGTAAATTAAGAACTATAATAAGAATTAATTATAGAAATCTTAAACAAGAAAACTATAAAATATTGAAAAGAATGCCTTCTGAAAATGGTGATTGTCGAAAAAAAATTAAAAAGTTAAGTAAGATAATCACATAATAAAAAATATAGCTCATTAATTTGTTAAATAAATATTAGACAAAAGACTTGTAAATTTATTGACGTACAGTACACTTATTAAATCCGAAAATTCTACAGTAGTTTACATTTAGTAGTAATTTAATAATTAATTAAGAAATGATTTAATATTTTATCGTATTTTGTTATTTGAAAGATCTGTCATGTTGAAGTAGAGGGCTTGCTGTGACGTCACATAGATCCAAGGTCACGCTAACAAATATACGGGATCTGGCCATCCTTGTAGTTTAAAGTCCTTGGTTTAAACCCCTTTGGATCGGCGAAGACCGCTCACGTTGTCACTGGATGACGGGATGGTAGGAGGGATATTAATTAGTGGGGAGGCCTTAGGTAAGTCGATAAGATGTCCGAATAATTCGAATAATGACAGGCTCAAGGTTAACAATTAGCAAACAATTTAATATAAAAACAAAGCGGATTACAATACAGTTCGATTAACGAACAGTTCGGACAATGAACACATCACAGAAAAAAAGAAGTGACGTAAAATAATGAATACCGATCGGTTTTCGAATTTTAAACACTTCTATTTATGATTGAATTTAAGATCTTGAAAATATGTATAGTAGTTTAAGTGTTAAAATTCTACTTTATTTAGTTAAATTAATTTGTTTTATCAAAGTTAAAGCTGTTAAAATTTATTCACCTGATACAAAAAGCTAGTTTTAGTTAATAATACTCAACATTTGAGAAGGGAAGAGAATAATACCCGTAGAAGACCTTTGATTTCTCTAATACCTAATAATTTTACGCAAAGATCATCTGTCAACTATATAAAGTAGGAAACAAGGAAACAAAATATTTTGTATATTAAGATATTATTGATCTCATTGGTATAAAATTATAATTACTGTAATTTGAAATGGTGATATTGTCGCATTTATATATGTATTAGATTTGCAATATGTTTTATCCTTAATAAAACAATTGATTTACGATTCGGAGTTGCACCTCATTACTTATTAGCACGCTACTTCAGTGAAAATAAGCCACAAAGTTTACTTTTCCTATTATCCTCTTGATTGAAAGATCAAGACAAAGCGAAATCAAATCAACAGACTTCGCGTCGGCACACTGCAATACACTAAAAGTTTAAAGTTATATTTCTATCGACTCGTTTTAACTTATTAATACTTAAGATATTTTACCAAAAATTTTCGTCGTCTTTAAATTAACAAATCCGATAAATTTGTCAATTTCGAATATAAAATATTTCTTAGCATTTTCAAAAGTTTCGGTTACTTCCGCTGTACTTCGCAGGGCGGCACCAAACGTGAAAATTTTCCATCACGTGACTATGATTATGACGTCGTCCGACTGGAGATTGGGAGAGTCAGTCCGATGTGAAGCCGCCATTGTTCCTTGTTCGTATTTTGTGTTGTAACATTTGGACGTTGTGCAAAGATTGGATCGAAATAATCCATAAATAGAATACCATAGTACTATTTGGACACTGAACAAGTAGTATTAGCATACTAGTTGACCGAATAATTGTTATTGTGGGATGTCTGCAAGTGTCGATCAGGTTAGAAAATCCAAGATGGCTTCAAATGCATTCAAGTTGTTGTTTGTCGTAATTTTACGATTAAATTATACATTTTTCCACTTATGATCTAATATACAGTGCTTTTTTGTCTTTCATGATATCTCATCGACCATGCAGCGCATGAAAGGCCAAGGAAGTACAGGTATGTTTATCCTTTATGTGAATTTTTAGATTGACGAGGATCTTAGACATCGCCAAAGATAGAGCTTAGGTTAAATTCTTCGCTAGGAAATTTTACAACAATTATTTCTACTCTAAAACGCAGGCGAATAATATAAATACTACTTTATTAATGTTTAATTATTCAATGACACATTAACTATGAGATTTAGTGATTCATTTAGAATTTGAAACATTTTAACACAGTCTTATGTTAAATTGGCTTATTGTGTTTAATAATTAACCTTTCCACCCAAATACATTAATTTCTTTAAGGAATTTT